TGAAGAGGTAATAAAAAGCTAGGCTAAAGCATGAAAAAGAGCTCATGATGTATCAAAGAAAGAAGTCCTTTTTAAATGATCAAATCTATTAGAAATTGATTTTTTTTTTTCTGGATAAAGAATAAAAGGTATTTGCAATAAGAAGAGGGTCCCACAAACTTGTGGTTCCCAGGTGTGAAAAAAGCAACAGTGAAAGATGGGGGAAAAGATGTCTGTTTTTGAGGAAAACAACATAGAAATGGTATAACAGACATTATATTTGGAATCAAATTCCAGCTATGGCTCTGCTACTAACTAGCTATGGACCTTTGGGGAAAAATATCTGTGAGGCCTTGTTTTCTCATTTGTAAAATAAGAAAGATAAACCATGTTATTTGCTAAGGTCATTCTAGCTCTAGAATTACATGAAAAAAAAAATCTCAATGTGGCTGTATGCAATCTAACCACGAATTGCAGGTAGCACACTGATGAAACAATAAGGATCTCTAATCCTGAATTTGGAACTAGGAAAATAAATTTCTCTTTTGAGAATTAGATGCTATAATAAATATAATAGACCATAAAAGAGAGATATGTAAAGTCATTGGCAATGTATGGTTTTTGTTTTGATTTTCCCAAATCTGAAGTGCACACTAAATTCTTACAGAAAACTACTTCTCCTTTAGCCAGACTATTATTGTGAAATCCTGGACTGCAGAATGATATAACCAGTCCAGCAATAATTTAAAGTTGGCTACATTCTTGAAATTTGCTGAAGATATTTCTTTGGAGTTTTCATAGCAATTCTTTGAGGATTTCATGACCCTTGCCAGCAACATTATTAAAAAATGCTCTTAATCAAGCAGTTAAAGTTATTTGGTTCTCTAATGTCAGGTTAAAAGTATGGTTAAAGAGATACATTAATTGACTAAATAAGGCAAACCATAAACTCAATACCTTCTCCATACCATATTAAAGAATCACTATCCACAGCACTAACTGAAACAATGAAAAATGTTTTACTCAGTCTCTTCTCCATTTAGTTTAATTTTTATTCACTAAAATGTGATTATTTTGGGTTTTCATATCACACTGGGCTTTTAGCACTCTGAAATCATTAAGAGAATGCTTAATATAATGAAGAAAAAGTCCATTTAATGAAAATTAAGTTAGTTGAATAGTTGTGTTATTTAAAAGAACAATGTTACATGTATTAATATAATGGGTCAAAACTTGAAGTTTCTATTTGAACTAAAATATTACTTGGGATCATTTTCTAAAAAAAATAATATTCACATTAAGAAAATGTGAAATTCAAATCATAGAACCAAAAACTTCAGTGATTTTTCAATAAAGATAATGAAGTCTCTATTATTTCTTTAATAAATGATGCTTATCAGCTTACCTCATTAGATAGTGCACATATAACATACTTTAAAAACAAGCTTTTATACAGTTACTCTAGTACCTGATTATTTTGTTCTTGGGCAGAGACCCACCTCTTCTTGCTAGAGCACAAATTCAAAGAGGAACCTCAGTTGGATCTTAAGCAAACCTATTGAATTACATGTACAAAGGTGCGTATCTGTTATATTTGTATACTTCTTAGTATAAGTTGTGAACTGGTGGCTCACAGGCAATAAACAGTCCACAGAATGTGCTGTTTGGCTCATATAATGCTTGTAAAAATTCTGAATTTGTTTCTAATATTTAATATTTAGGAGGATATGCATAAAGATCCATAATCTTGACTTTCCTTGAAATATCAGAAGATTCTGGAACACAGGGCTCACATTCCTACATGACAACAATTGGCTAGAGTTGAGTGAGGATTGTTACCACATTTAAATAGGGGGATGACTCTCCTGTTTGCCACAGTTCCTACCAGGGGTTTGATGAACTCTTTTATGTTATTTGCTTGGCTTTTGTAGGCACTGGATTTTGAAACTTTTAATATGCAAGTTTGTGTGTGTGTATCTATGACTGTGTATAAATATAGTTGCCTCTCCATATCTGCAGGTTTTGCATCTGTGGATTTAACTAACCATGGATTGAAAAATATTCTAAAAACCTCCCAAAACAATAAAAAAAATCAAATAAAAATACAGTATAACAACTATTTACACAGCATTTACATTGTATTAGGTATTATCAGTAATCTAGATGTGATTTAAAGTATATGGTAGGATGTGGATAGATTATATGCAAATACTACATATATCATTTTACATAAAGAACCTGAGCACGTGCAGATTTTGGCATTGAAGGTGGGTCCTGGAACCAAGTCCCTGCAGGTACCAAGGAACGTGTGTGTATGTGTGTGACTGTTCCTTGGTATGTGCTATTTGGCTTAGATAATATTTGTAAAAATTCTGAATTCGTATACATATATATGTCTATGTGTATGTACACATATATATGTATTGTATATGTGTGTATATGTATACATACATACACATACATACAAGCCTTTTGATTCTGTGATCCTGATCACATATATACATACATATACACACATACACAACAGTAAAAGCAGTTAATCAGGATGATATATGCAAAAATAGTCATCAAA